GGGTTGGATCCCAGTAGGGGGTGTGCTGGAGGCAGCTGATCAATGCTTCTCTCTCATGTTGATGTTTCTCTCTCAAAAAAAAAATAAATAAATAAATAAATAAATAAATTATTTTTTAAAAAAGAAAGTATTGCTTAATTAGTAGAACATGATTTTATATATATTAAATTTAAGAGAGGGCCTTTGTCTTTAAGTTCTTTTATTAATCTATTAATTAAAATAAATTTTATTCCAGCAGTATCCTCTTTTAAATAAAAAGTGACAAGATAAAGATAATAGACAAACAATTTATACATTAAAATTGGTATATATAAACCCACGCACCCAGTAATTAAAGCACAAAATAATCAGTGCTCTGTAAATGATTTTGTGTCTGTTTTACAGTTAAAGTTGGCCCCCTGAATGGGTGGTTAATGATAATTTACAAGAGTAATAAAGAAATGAGAGCCAATTAATCACTGTACTCTAAAGTACTAAAATACAGTGTCATAAATTTTAAGCTGACAAAAGATATAGGAAGAGGGCTATTTATTTTATTTACTATTTCATTATTATATATATTATGCAATTTATATGTAATATATATTATAGAACTACATTTTCTGGCTCCTCAATTTTAATAGACAGTTCAGTTTATTTAAGAATGTTGGATTCAAGTAAATAAGTTTACTAACTACTCTTTATATTCACATGTCAAAAAAAAGAAGTGAATGTTTTGAAACACGCAGCCTATGGAAGGACAAACCATACTGTCCTTAACCTGAACACTCCCCTCTTCTAAGTGATGTGTGTTCACAGAAGCTCACTAGTTTCTTCCTGGTCTCTAGTAGGCATTGCTTTACTGGACAGAGTCCACTTTGAAGGGCAACTAAAGTAGTCACTGGCTCAGAGGAAGCCTAGTAAAATTTATATATGTAGGCATCAAATGGACCTTGTTCAAATATAGAAAGACAGATTTGGTCATTTGGCCCCCTTGCCTAAATCTTTCATGACTTCCTATGGCTCTTTGGCTGAAGACCAAATCCTTGTTATACTTAAAGCAGGCCCTCATGGTCTGCCTGCTTTCCTGTGTGTCCTCATGTGCAACAACCTTCCCTTTAATCTCTGTGATCCTTCCTTATACCGACCACTTCTTCTCCCCTTCCTCCTGCTCCTCCTCCTCTTCCTTCTGCTCCTGCTCCTCCTCCTCCTCCTTGCATATGCCATGCTTCTTCTGCGGGTACATTACATGTTTTCCTTCTGCTGAGATCATTTGATTGTTCCCTCCCCTCTCCTCTTCCCATACCCACATTTTCACCTTCCCAATGGCCCGAGTCACCCTCCGGGCCTCACTTCGTGAAGGATTGCCAAAGGAGGTACAAGAAAGCCAGTTTTGCTGTTATTCTGAACTTTACCCACCTTGTCAAAGGTATACAAAGTTGAGAAATTGGAGATACCAGGGTTGACATTTGGAGAGGGCTGCTGTGGGTTTGTGGGTTCCCCAGGGTGCGGTACCCATATAGTACCTTACTGACTTCTCAGAGAACTTCGTGTGTGTTCTCTGCAGTTTGGAGCTAATGGACTCAAGTCTGTCTCTCACCTGAGAAATCTAAAGGGAGAATGACTGATGGAACAAAGGAGACGTTTTCTGGGGTGGAGACAGCCTGCCCCCAGGAGTTTGTAAGGGCAAAGCGTACTTAGGGTTTCTCCCGGGCGTGGGTCGTCTGTGGCAGAGACAGCTGGCGTGGGCTTGTTTCTGATCTTGCAGGAAAGGGCCAGAGGGAGCAGCTCTGAGTGCGGCCAGCTGTCCAGGAGACAAGGAACCAGTGAGTGGGCGGTCTGAAGACAGGTGTGCTCACCTCTGTCAAGGCAGCTGCAGGTCCGAGGTCTGAAGCAAGCAGAGAAGGGAGGAGCACATGCCCCCACAGCACATACCCCACCTGAACTCTGAGTTTAGCATTCCGATTATTATATGGACCATCATACTCAAATTGTTAAATTGGGACTGTTTTGTGACTTAAAGTAACAGAAAGAATTTTGTCAGTGATTATAGAAGTTGTAGGAGCTTCCTAAATTTTGACTTAGGGGCAGAGGAATCACCATTTGCCCTACAAGGTAAATTTAAATGAGAGAGGAAAAAATAAAGTCACTCTACAGTTGCATCCCATGAGCTGGGGGTTGTTATATCATACATGTTACCCATATTGATGACAACAGAGATTATTATGTCTGATGTGGAGAGATGGGCCACAGGAGGAGAAGCTACCTTAAGTGAGGTGGCTTACGAAAGAATTTCAAAGCATGGCAGAGAAGTTTAAACTTTATTATTATAGAAAATAAGAATTGACATAGAGTTTGAGCACTGACCCATTATGGTGAACGTGACATTTAAGGAAAATTGCCCTGGCAACAGTGTGCGAGGCGGATGATAGGGCGAGGAAATTTGAACAGGAAATATAAATTAACAGAAAAGATATAATAATATATTGTTATTGTAATGTAGGGGTAAAATTATGAGGTTGGTACTAAGGAGACAGTAATAAAAACAAAGAGGAAGGAACTAATTGAGGATATTTTAGGAGGAAAAGAATATAAGAATGGTGGCTGATTTGTTAAGGAAAGATGAGTCACACATACTTAATTTTAACTAAGATAATTGATAGTCCAACTGATGTCAAACTGATAAATGCCCCAGAAGAAATGCCACCTAGAAAGAGGCGTAGAACTATAATTCAGGTGGGAAGACATGGGGAGTAAATATTGAAGAACATATTTTGAAGGAGAGATTATATGGCAGTGTTTTTTTAAACTTTTGAGTAAACAGAAATTGCTGGCGAAGCCTGTAAAAAAATGCAATTCCTGAATCCTTCCCCACATCTAGAAAGCAGAATATGTGTGTAAGAGCCTGAGAATTTTGATTTGCAAGTATCCATGGTGATTTGATGCAGGCGGTGAGGAAATACCCTTTGAGACCCTCCAGTGACTGGAACAGCGAGAAATGCTTAGAAGAGAGAAATGCTTGGACGTTTAAGGAGGAGCATGTTTGAGGAGAAGGTAGAAATCCCAGGAATTTGGGGGAAATGCAAAAGAGAACTAACATATAACCAAGGAAACGAGTCCAAGAGCAGGAGGACATCACGTGTCACGTCGATTGCAGGAGTTAAGGAGCATGAGGTTAGGGAAGACATTGCCCAGCGTGTCCTTTTCATTCAGGTGTGTTTCTCATAAACATGTGTTTGGATTTATTTTGAAATCTATTCCAATAAATTGTGTCTTTTAACTGGAGTCTTTCATTCATTTATATTTCCTGAAGTCTGTCCCAGTCAAAATCTGCTGTTGCTATGCAGTCTCATCCGCGTTCACATATTTCCCCAGGTGTTCTGTGATTTTTTTACTGCATGCTTGGATCCTTATCTGGGAGAATTCTTTGAACCCTGGATGAAGGGGGTTCCTCTGGAAAGTATCTGTGCTTCTCTTGCCCAAGTGTCATCCCAGTCCATACCACGTTACAGTAAATTCTTGGCTTAACAATTGATGAACAGGTTTCTTGTTTATGCAGAACTGACTAACCCATCATTACAGAAAAATCTGGGGTAGATCAGCAATTGTATATATATTTGGACAGCACACACACATATGTGTAGATATATATGCATGTATACATATATACAAATAAGTGTGTGTGGAGGTTGGTGGGGGTTGTGTTTGAAATAGATTAATGTAGACACCCTAGCGTGAAGGCTTTACTTCTAAGACTGCCGTGAAATGAGACATGGAGGAATAAGATAATGAGCACTTCCTTTTCAAAACCTACTGAAAAACTGAGATTGGAAGAATTTACCTTTGCATAGTCAGGCACTGTTTTAAAAGGTTTGGAAAGCTTTTTTTTAAAAAATGATTTTAGAGAGGAGAAGGGAGGGAGAGAGAGAGAAACATCAATGTGAGAGAGATACATTGATTGCTTGCCTCCCACACATGCCCTGACTGGGAGTTGAACCTGCAACTTTTCCAACTTTTCTGTGTGTGGGATGATGCTCCAACCAACTGAGACACCCAGCCAGGGCTGGAAAACTTTTTTGTTCTTAACAAAGCACTTCCCTTCAGAAGTAGGACTCCTGACCATTCCCCCAGCAAATTCATTCATTCTTTGAATGCCTACTATATATACGAGGTTCTAAGGTAAACACTCTTAATTTTTTTATCCTCACCAGAGGACATTTTTGCATTTATCTTCTGATAGAACAGGAGGGAGAGAGGGGGGGAAGAGAGAGAGAGAGAGAGAGAGAGATCAATTCAATGCCAGAGAGACACATAGACCGGTTGCCACCCACACAACCCCAACCTGGGCCGGGGACAAACTGCAACCAAGGTACATGCCCTTAGCGGGAACCAAACCTGGGACTCTCTGGTCTGCAGGCCGATGCTCTAACTGCTGAGCCAAACTGGCCAGGGCTGAGGTAAGCACTCTTTATAGGAGTTAACATTGATGTAGTGCTTCCATGTTGATATGTAACGTTGAGATGTGTTATCGCAGGCTCATCTCTAACTGTCATTTCTTACTAATCGACTTTGTTGACATTACGTCTGGGTGTGTGCTATGGTAGTCAGGCCTAACAAAGGCAGCAGAAATTACGTTTTTCTGCTGAATCGATATACTTACAGGATGTCCACTGTTTAAACTCTAGGAAAATATTGTTTACTTGACAGATTTTGGACCGTCATTTTGCAAATATACATACTCAAGTCTTTGTTTGCAATGTGGATGTATTAGGGTTCTCCAGAGCAATAAAATCAACAGGAGCTCTGTATCTATATCTATATCATTATATCTATATTTATATCTATCTCTATCTAGAAACACCCTCACACAGACACACAGAATAGTGTACGACCAAATATCTTGGCCCTCAAGTTGACATAAAATTAACCATCACAGTAGAATCAACGGATCAGATGTTCTATAGCTCACCAGTATTTATTGCATGTTAGGTGAGTTTTAATTCTTTCTTTCCCTTCCCCAGGAATTATTTACTTAACATCGACACTTAGTCATTTAGAATCTACTACACTTCTGCTGACGGCCTGTGCTCGAGATGGTGGCGGGCTCACATCTGTCATTGACGCCCATGTCACTATACACATTCTTCAGACAACTCTGGCACCCGCTGAATTTGAAAGGCCTAAGTACACTTTCTCGGTTTATGAAGATGTGCCTGAAGACAGTCCCGTGGGGACAGTGAAAGCAAAGGAGTCCTTGAGTAAGTACTCCTTATCCTGCATTGAAATGATCATCGGAACATGTCCTGTACCTTAGGCTGTCTGTACCGTCTTCTAGTGAATCTTTCCTTCTCTCCCTGCAAGAAGGGTGGACACCACACAGTATGTGGGTTCTTCAATGCTATTTCTATCCTATAATTTTTTTCTAATCACAAAAGTAATAGATATTTTTAAAAGAAAGTTTAAAACAACAACAAAAAACTCAGTGTAGAAAGTATCCATCTTCTATGTCCCACTCCCCAAAACACACACACACTTATAAAATTTTCACAAAAAATTTATCCTAGTATCTTGGTTATCTTACAACTATCTTTTTTTTCTACTGTATGCTTTTTTCTACTTTATATTGTGTAACTTTGCAGGTAACTGTATATAATTTTGAGTCGTTTTAAAATGTTTGAATGTATTTCAACTTAGATATAAAGCACGTTTTATTAAACATTTCTCTCTTGCTACCAATTTGAATGATTTAGAGTATCTTGTTAGGCCAAGTAGTACTCAAGCAACGTCCTTGTATGACCTGTAGACGTTTCTGTGCAGGAGAAACTCCTAGGAGGGAATTCTTTGTTCAAAAGCCGGATCCTGCCCTGCTCCCAGTTCCCTCCTTTCCCCTTCTCTGTCCCTTCCCTTAACTTTTGTGGAGGGTATTTGCCGTTCATAGGTAGGTATCATAGAGAAACATCAACATAAACTTAAGTTGGCTTCCTCAAGCATATTAAGTAGGTGCCCAAATAATGTTCTGAATATGCTTCCCTTCTACCTAACGCAAGAGGAATGAAGACGTAGTGAAACCTGTGCTTTGCTTTTTGACCATTGCTCACTACCTGTGTCCACTAAAGCATCTTAATCCATGTGCTCACTTTCAACCAGCTCTGGAGAGCTAAGGAAGACACAGACATTGCATAGTATCCTCTGCGGATGTTGTATACGTTAATATTTTCAGATTTTGGTGTTTCTAGGAGGTACATTCTTTGGACGTACAGTGATTGCTTTATTTTTATCCATTCTTTTCCTTTTCTGATTCAGATTCCTCAGAGCCAATTTTCTACAGAATCTCCTCTGGCGATCTGCACAGAAAGTTCTCTATTCACCCGTGGCTGGGCACCATTCGAACCCAGAAGCCCCTGGATCACGAGACGCAGCCCGTGGTTGTGCTCACGGTCCAGGCGCAGCTCGGCAGCTCCCCTGCCTGCAGCAGCACCGAGGTCAACATAACCGTGGTCGATGTCAACGACAACCATCCAGTGTTTCCCAGAGCCTCAGACGAGGTCAGAATATCCCCGACCACACTGCCCGGCGCAGCCTTGTACCGGGTGCGTGCGGAAGACAAGGACAGTGGTTGCAATGGGTTCGTCCGGTACTCTATCGCCAGCCAGAATCCAGGCCTCTTTGCCGTGGACCCCGGGCTGGGGCTGGTGTACCTCAATGCCAGTCTGGGGGGCAGTGTGGCCCCGAAGCACACGCTGACCCTCAGGGCCCAGGACCTCGGCGTTCCGCCTCGAGCATCCCTGTTTGTGCTGACGATCGTTATCGAAAAACCAGACTCGAGCCCGCCCTTGATTTTTGGAAATCTGGTCTATGAAGTAGAAGTTAGCGAGGCTCTCTCACCCACAACCCCGATACTGCAGATCCAGGCCCACGCGCTTGGCGCCCAGCGCAGGTCGCGGCTCCTGTACTGGCTGGAACCCAGCGCCGGCGCTGCGGCGTTTGCCGTGCACCCGTACACAGGCTGGATTTCTCTGCGGCGACAGCTCGACTATGAATCCACCCAAACATACAACTTGAGAGTGTTTGCCCGGCTCCCGGAGGACGGATGGTCACAAAATGTGAGCACTTCCGTAATTGTTCATGTCCTGGACGAGAACGACAATTCTCCTGCCTTCTTGCATGATGTGTTGTTTCTGAAAGTGGAGGAGAGCCCCCTGCCCCAAGGGGTAATAGGCAGGATTACAGCGATGGACAGAGACTCGGGGAAGAACGGACAGCTGTCGTATTTCCTTTTGTCTGATGGAAAATTCTTCATGATGAATCCTCATACAGGTAGAATTTTGTAGCTTCCGCTTATTCCTTTAAAATTGTACTTGACAAAACCCAAAATCTTTTAGTTATAACATTAGCTCAAGCATATAATTAAAATCACAGTCTTTAGAACATACCTTACTGATTATCATCTTGTGGTTTTAAAATAAAATAAAAATGAATATAATTTTATCTATAATGATTCATACTTCTCTTGCTTCTCACCTACATATTACTAATATATGGCTCTTATTCTAAATTAGACATACAGTCAGAACTGGATTGAATAAATCCTTTTGTAAAGTCTAATTTTTTCCACCAACCTTCTTTTATATTTGTAGATTTTAAAAAAGTGAAATAAGCCCTGGCCGGTTTGCTCAGTGGTCAGAGCGTGGGCCTGTGGACCAATGAGTGGTGGGATGGATTCTGGTCAAGGGCTTGTCCTCGGTTGTGGTTCATCCCCGGCCCTGGTCAGGTTGTTTGGGAGGCAACCAGTTGATGTGTCTCTTACATCAATGTTTCTCTCTCTCCCTCCCTCTCTCTCCATCCCTCCCACTCTATCTAATGACAAATAGAAAAATATCCTCACGCGAGGATTAAACATTAATAGAAATAAAAAGTCAAATAATATTTTATAAAATATAAACATCATTAGTGTAAAACTAAAAGCCAATCTAAGATTTCAATAATACCACTCTATTGATATACGTTTCCATTCTCATTTTGATAAGGGAACCAAGGGGGAAGTACAGATATTTACAGTGAATTTTTTCTAGTCTTAATTATGGAATTAAATATAAAAATGTTATTATGTTTAAAATTTTGTATTGTAGAGTTTTACAGGGACTTAATCCCTGAAACTGCCTACAAAGCAAATATGTTTATGCTACAACTATATAGTTGGGGAACTGAGACTCGGGTAGCTCAAGTAACATGCCCAAGGTCACAGAGCTAGAAGGAGAGGAGAGGAGGTCACCATATACACGGAGGTACCATGTATTCTGATATGATGCCCCATGCCCTAGAATGGATGAAATTTGAATTCAGTTTTGACTAACTTGACTCCACAGACCCCTGTTGTATGAATCAGGTGCCCTTCCCTCCAGCAGATGGCGCTTTGCACCAGGGCGCAGGGCTTGCCAAGACTGCAAGCCTAAAGTCAGCTCCCATTCGCTCCTAAACCGGTTCCCCCCTCCTCAGGGCACACACTGAACAGAGAGGCAGGATTCTCTTCACTCCCACAGGCTAGTTCTCCAGGGCTTCTATTTCCTGTAGTAATGTGTTTTTTTGAAAGCATGCAAACCATCATTGGTTCCCCCATGATTGTCTCTCTCCTGCAATTAGTGCAGGGCCAGGTGTCGATTCCTAGTTTTGCTGATTGACTTTAAGCAAGTAGCTTAGTGTCAGAGCATGGCTTCCTCACCATGAGCAGAGGAGATAATTCCTGACATGCTCACTGTTCTGCTCTGGGGGGTAAAGGGTTAAAGTTTAGGAAAGGGCGTGGGAGACTACCTACTGGTAAACTGTTTCCATTCCCCAGGGCTAGGAACAGTGTGACAAGACAGGGGTCGAGGGGACAAAGCATGGCAGGTGTGACCTCCTCCACATCCTGAACCTCTGAGCAGCCGTGTAGTGATCAGGACACCAGTTTCCACGGGCCCCAGCGTGGGCATCACCCACGCCCAACAGTCTTCTTTACCACTGACCTCCAAACAGCTGCTGGTCAGAGTTCATTCATCAAATAAAAATATGTTTGCTATTCAGGAGCTTGGGTTTTCAGAGGAGAATTACAGTTTGGAATTGAAAGAAAAAAAAAAGGAGTTGTTCTGGCTGAGTGGTTCAGTGGTTGTGGCGTTGCCCAATAGATTGGGCAGGTTTGATTCCTGGCCAGGGCACATACCTAGGTTTCAGGTTCAATTCCTGGTAGGGGAGCGTCGGTGGGAGGGGGGGGGACAACTGATTGATGTTTCTCACATCGATTCTCTCTTCCTTCCTCCTTCTCTAAAAATCAATAAACATATCCTTGGGTGAGGATTTTAAAAAAAGCAGTGGTATGTATGTATGATTTTTTTGTAAAATCACACTTAGTCTAACACTATATAAATATAATTTATATTGTAAGCACTGCGTTTGAGCTCACCAATTCAGCAACATACCCAAATGTGAATTTTCTTTTTTGTTCCTCATTTCAGCTTTTCCTGTTGTTTTACACATCATTTTCTTTGGGCGAAGAGGGCAGATTTAAAAATCTTAGAAATAGCAATGGTAGGCGGTAGTCCGCTTTGTGTTTACTTTCTCATGAATAGATAGTTTCATAAATAGTGAGGAAGACGCTGCCTGGCAGGACCCTGCAGCAGAAGGCTGACCACCAGGTAGGGCAGTGGGCTTCCCATGGCCCTTGACCCTATGCCTGAGTCTCCCGGCGGAAGTGCGAGGGACATTGACTAGGAATGGGTTCTGAGCAAGAATCTGTAAAATAAGACTTGTAACCATTATGAGTCATTCGGGAAGTCACTAGTTAGCTGTGGCTACACACACATTTTGTGAGATAATGATAGATAACTAACTGCATGTGTAAAAGGCAAATAGTAGCCTGACGAATATGTTTGATTCTCATGGAGATATTGGCCATTATTTTAAAGCGATGATAACAACTGCCATGTGTGTAATGATTTGCAGCCTACAAAACACCTTTAAATTCAAGGCTGCATTTGTTTCTGAGAGCCTTAAGCAATCAGGCTCAGAGAGGTCCTTCGGTGTCTGAGATGGAGAAACTGAGACCCAGACTCGGGGCTTGTGATGTCCGAGCTGAGCCGAGATGCTTCCTTCCATTATTCTGTGTAGCAATATGAAGAGGAATATGCTGAGGTTTAAAATCTGAGTTAATACTACATTCGTACAGAGTTTATAATCGGTTTCTATGAATTCAATTTTTAGTTCAAATGGTTGATGGGAGGTAAGTTGAAATATGAAGAATGGCAAACTTAAAGTGGCATTTTTAGGAGAAACTTCAGAAAATTCTTTCAACAGTAGAGTCAAACTACCCACGTACGTGGTCTTGGGAGCGGTGCTTTTACTCAGAGCTTTACAGTGTTGATTTTCCTTTCCAGGAATTATTTTGCCCGCGGTCCACAGTGCCAGCATTCCAGCACACAGTGTCAACCTCTTTTGTTCTCTGTGTCCTCAGGGGAGCTGATCAGCTGGGTGGCGCTGGACCACGAGCATCAGGCGCACCATCAGGTGACCGTCCTAGTGACTGACCATGGCTCCCCACCGCGGAATGCCAGCATGGTGGTTTATGTCTCAGTGACTGACATCAATGATAACAAGCCGTATTTCCCACAGTGCCTCCCTGGGAAGGAATTACACATCAAGGTTTGTTGGGGTGAAATAGCTTTGCAATGAACTTGTAGTATTCTTAGTTATTTGTGTTGAGCACCATCTTGTGGTAAAGAGTGTGAATTTACCAAATCAGTCACGGTGTGGCAATGCATTTATTTCTAGAAGACCTAGAAATTGTGCATATGTCAAAAAATATCCCATTTAAAAAAATAAAATGATTATATGTGCTATTTGGGATCTCACATCCAGTTGCTTTATGATGAATGTAGTCCTGCCTTTGTATACAAACATAATGGTTCCCTTTTAACAGTAATGCTCAGGCAAGAAGTATTTTTCCAATAATTTGCATGTATCCCTATGCAGAGTTCCATATGAGTGATTGTTTCACACCTAAGTTGGTTCATTAGAGATAGGGGAACAATCTGTAGTTCTGAAGTGGGGAGACATATATCTAGAGGTCTTTTGGGGGCACATGCAGAAACTCCTAATTATATTTATATTATGTTACCTTTTTTATTTCTGTTTTATAATGTACATAATAAATGAGCATATTAGTTCATGCGCATAATAAATAACTATATCTTGGATGTACTCATACTTTAAAAAAAATGAATGAGTATAAGAATAAAAAGCTGTAGCTCCCAAGCAATTGAATTGGACATTCAAATTGTGCTCAGATATACATAGGATATTTAGAAAGTTAATAACTTTAAACTGATCTTACAAAGTCATATTTAAAGAAAAATTTACCAAAACAAAATATATTATCATTGTGATTTTAATCATGTTCTTAAAACAACCCGTGGCTTAATTGCACAATAGGACTTTAAAATTGGAGTTCAACTCTACATGTAAATTTCAATATTTGGGAAAGTTTCTATTAATTAATTATCTTTCCCATATGAGGTATGTTTCCTGAAATAAAAATCTTTCTTTATCTTTAGCATATTTTAGACCTTAACAACAACTTTTTAAAAATGTCCTGATTAGCTAATGAATGAAAAGATGCTAAGATTCTTAAAATACATTCAAAATCTAAGATTGTGTAGTTATTTTTACTTTTTCTCCCTACCCTCAGAATTATTTCAAATGCAGCAGCTAATTTGTTCAAATAGAGTAAAATATTTAAATTGTAATGTGAATGCTTTTCATGGATTTACACCCATATACTTTGTATATGGTAGGCATTGGAATTATATGTGGATTTTAAAATAGTTTTTTAAATGCTTAGTAGTAGTGTGTTCTTTCACTTAAAGCTCATTGCTTTTTCTTTTAACAAATTTACCATGAACTTTGTATGACATTTGTTTTATTGACAGGTTCTGGAAGGTCAACCAGTAAATATGTTGGTCACAACTGTGTTTGCAAAGGATTCTGATGAAGGAAACAATGCAGAAGTTTCATATTCGGTATCTTCAGGTAACCGTCACTACCCATAAAGGATTATGAGCGTTTAGCATTTCCTCTTTTGTTTATTAGTTATCACCTCCTTCTGTGGACATGGTTAACATTGAAAATAACACCACATTACAAACAAAATGCATTTGTTATTGTCTAGAATTAACTTTTATATTTAAAAAAGAATTTAAGAGTTTAGTGAAAAATCAAAGTATTTTCTGTTCCCTAAATAAGGATCAATCCACCAATCATCCACCTTAGATGAATAATTTTCAATAATCTAAAGTACAAATCAACTTTTATTGAAAGGAAAGTAGTAGTTAGTGGGTAGAAACCGGTATTATTATAAAGAAATACGATTATGACTACTAAGCATCTATGAATCTCTACGAAGACTAAATATTGTTAAGGTTAGAGTAACCCACACCTAGGAAATGTCACATGTACATAATGTATGTGCATGTGGGAACTTGATTGAGACAGGCATGCTTTTGTGTTTTTATTTTAGAATGTACAAACCTCAGATGTGTTCCAGCCATTGACTGTAGTTGACATTGTGTTTTATATCATTTTAGAGGATGTTCAGTGCTTCCTCATGTTTGACAAAAACATAGGAAAGCAAAAGAGAATGTTGCCCTTACCTGCAGATACATTGTCTACATGAAAATCCAAAAGTTGCTACGGGAAAACCATTAGAATTAATACAATGAAAAATTTCTGCGAACAGTGTTAACATACAAAATTCACTAGCATTGCCCTGGCCGTTGAGTAGAATATTGGCTTGAGCACCAAAGGGTCACAGGTTTGATTTTTGTGAAGGGCATGAACTTGTGTTGCAGGTTCTATCCTCAGCCCCGGTCAGTGCACATGTGGGATGCAACCAATTGCTGTGTCTCTCTCACATGGATGTTTCTCTCCCCACCCCCTCTCTTTATATTTTTCTCTCTCTCCCCTCCCCCCTGTGCTTCTACTCTATCTAAAAATCAGTGGGAAAATATCCTTGGGTGAGAATTAACAACAAAAAATTAAAATTCACTAGCATTTAAAAAGCTAAGCAGGTTTTCAAAGATCTCATTCACCATGAAGTTTAAGCTTTAAGACCCTTCACTTACACAGGCTCTTCAAGGGTGGAATTGAGAACCAGCGAGTCATTTATATTTGTAACATTGTTCTATTTTTCTTAAAGAGAAACCCTCAGATTATACGTTTCAAAATTCCCGAAATCAGGACCATCCTGATCAGAGCACAAAACGGAAGATTCTGATAGAAGATGTTTGAGACCTTTATGTAGAACATTATGCAATATTAACAAAGGTGTAAAAGAAGAATGAAATAAAAGGCCTACCATGTTCCTGATGGGACAGGTCCCATGCTGAACGGTGACAGGGTGGACGGTCCGGAGGTAACGAGCCCGCAGCAGAACCAGCCTTGAGCACACCTTGTGTGGTTCTCTTCTCCGCCTCAGATTCCTTCTCCTGCTTTATTTCTCTTTCCATGGCCACCACTCTTCTCTCTCTGCCCATCTCTTCAGCCTATTCTAACCCGACTCTAGGGGAAGAAAGCTGGCTTTGCCGGCCTGCATTCAAGAGGTCGGTTAGTCTGTAAGATCTTTGTATCTTTTTGTTTGTTTCTGTGTTTGTTTGGGCTGGGAAGATTTTTTTATATATATACCTGTAAAACACAGTGGGGTAGAGAGAGAATATACAGAAATACACACACATGTGGATTAATAAATGAAGCTACAGTCCTGCCATAATACCATTGTTTATAAATAAACAAAACCCTGCTATATATTTTTCATGGATATGTGGATTAGAAAGGAGGCTATCTACAGAGAAGGAGGAAGGGAATGAGATTTAGAGGTGTATACAGGTCCTCTTCTGTACTTAAACTCTTTTCTTTCTTTCTTTCTTTCTTTCTTTCTTTCTTTCTTTCTTTCTTTCTTTCTTTCTTTCTTTCTTTCTTTCTTTCTGTATTTTTGTATGTGCCTCTAGCGGGAACCAAACCCAGGACTCTCTGGTTAACAGGCCAACGCTCCAACCACTGAGCCAAATCAGCCAGAGAAACTCTCATTTCTTTAAACATTTGTTGTTGTGGTGGTTGTTGTTGTTAATCCTCATCCAAGGATATTTTTCTATTGATTTTAGATCGAGTGGGAGAAAGAAAGGGAGAGAGAGAGAGAGAAACATCGATGTGAGAGAGACATATCGATTCGTTGCCTTCCTCATGACCCCAACCAGGGCTGGGGACAGAACTGCAACCGAGGTATGTGCCCTTGACTGGAACCAAACCCACAACCCTTTGGTCCACAGGCTGATGCTCTAACTACTGAGCCAAACCGGCCAGGTTGGTGGTCTTTGATCTTTAATGTTACTGTTGTAATTGTTGTGGGATGCCCTGAACCACACCCAGATAAGCTGGCAAACTTAATCAATAAATGTTGTGTTCTGACTGCTGCACAGACAAGCCATCCCTGTTTTTCTCCATCTTCTTGAGACACAAAAAATATTAAAATTTGGCCAATTAGTAGCCCTACAATGGCCTCTAAGTGTCCAAGTGAAAAGAAGAGTCCCAGGTCTCTTACATTAAATCAAAAGCTAGAAATGATTAAGCTTAGTGAGGAAGGCATGTTAAAAGCTGAGATAGACTGGAAGCTAAACCTCTTGAGCCAAACAGTTATCCGAGTTGTGACTGCAAAGGAAAAGTTCTTTAAGGAATTAAAAGTGCTCCTCCACACTATTTACAATCGCTAAGATCTGGAAACAGCCCAAGTGCCCATCAGTAGACGAATGGATTAAAAAGCTGTGGTACATATACACAATGGAGTACTACGCAGCGGTAAGAAAGAAAGATCTCTTATCCTTTGAGACTACATGGAGGGACCTGGAAAGTATCATCCTAAGTGAAACAAGCCAAACAGAGAAAGACAAATTTCATATGATCTCACTGATTTGTGGAATATAATGAACATAACAGTTTGAGGACAATCTCCTAAGGAATGGGGAGGTGAGAGAGGGATGAACCACAGAACTTATATGCATGTATGCATGAACAGTGGACATGGACAACAATCTGGGGAAGGAGCAGGGAGGGAAGGGGGAGGGGGGAATCAGTGGGGGGAAAAAGGAGAATCATTTGTAACAAAAATTAATCAATAAAAAAAAAAAAAAAAAAGTGCTCCTCCAGTGAACACACAAATGATAAGAAAGTGAAACAGCCTATTGCTGATATGGAGAAAGTGTTATGGTCTGGATAGGAGATCAAACCAGTCATAATATTTCCTTATGCCAAAGTCTAAACCAGAGAACGATCCCAACTCTCTCCAATTCTATGAAGGCTGAGAGAGGTGAGGAAGCTGCAGGAGAAAAGTTTGAAGCTAGCAGAGGTGGGTGCATGAGGCTTAAGGAAGGAAGCCATTTCCCTAACATAAATGCTCAAGGTGAACCAGCAAGTGCTGCTGTAGAAGCTACAGCAAGTTAGCCAGAAGATCTAGCTAAGATAAGTAATGAATGTGGCTACACAAAACAACAGATTTTCAATGTATACAAAACAGCTTTATATTAGAATGAGATGCCATCTAGGACTTTCATACCTAGGGAAGAGAAGTCAGTGCCCAGCTTCGAAATTTCAAAGGACAGGCTGACTCTCTTATTAGGGGCTAATGCAGCTGGTGACTTTAAGTTGAAGCCAGTGCTCATTAACTATTCTGAAAATCCTCGAGCCCTTAAGAATTGTGCTAAATCTACTCTCTGCTTGTGCTCTATACATGGAACAACAAAGCCTGCATGTCAGCACGTCTGCTTACAACATAATGGTTTACTGAATAGTTTATGCTCACTGTTGAGGCCCACTGCTCAGAAAACAAAGATTCCTTTCAAAATATGACTGCTCATTGACAATGCACCTGGTCACCCAAGAGCTCTGATGGAGGAGTTGTACAACGAGATTAATGTTGTGTTCATGCCTGCTAATACAACATCCATCTTGCAGCCTATTGATCAAGAAGTAATTTTGACTTTCAAGTCTTACTATTTAAGAAATACCTTTCATAAAGCTATAACTTCCATAGATAGGGGTTCCTCTGATGGATCTGGGCAAAGTATATTAAAAGCCTTCTGGAAAGAATTCTCCATTCTAGGTGCCATTAAGAACATTCATGATTCATGGGAAGAGGTCAAAATGTCAACATTAACAGGAGTTTGGAGTTGATTAGAATCCTCATGGATGACTTTGAGGAGTTCACAACTTCAGTGGAGGAAGTACCTGCAGATGTGATGGATACAGAAAGAGAACCAGAATTAGAAGTGGAATCTGAAGGTGTGATTGAGTTGCTGCCATCTCATGACAAAACTTTAACAGATGAGGAATTGCTTCTTGTGATTGAGCAAAGAAAGTGATTTCTTGAGATGGAATCTACTGCTGGTGAAGATGCTGTGCAGACTGTTGAAATGACAACAAAGGATTTAATTGATGAAGCAATGGTAGGGTTTGAGAGCACTGACTCCAATTTTGAAAGAAGTTCTCCTGTGAGTAAAATACTATCAAATAGCACGGCATGCTACAGAGAAATTGTTCATGAAAGGAAGAGTCAATCTCTGTAGCCAAATTGATAGTTGCCTTATGTTATGAAATTGCCACAGCCCCTCCAGCCTTCAGCAACCACTACCCTGAGCATTCAGCAGCCATCAACAACAGGCAAGATCCTCCACCAGAAAAAAAATGTTATGACTTGCTGAAAGCTTGCATAATAATTAACATTTTTAGCAATAAATTATTATTTAATTAAAGTATGTACATTTTTTAGACATAATGCTACTGCACACTTAATAGGCTAGAGTATATAAACATAATTTTTATATGCACCAGTAAAGGCTAGCAAAGGGAAATATGTAAGCAGGAAATAAAGATTGACCATGAGTTGATAATTATTAAAGCTACATGATAGTCATATGAGGGTTCATTATATCGTTTTGTCTACTTTTTTATATGTTTGAAAATTCTGTATTTTTAGTACTATTTTTCTTATTCTCTCACAGAGCTTAAGGCAAATACATCTTCCAAATGATCGCTCACAGGTGTTGTTTGATTCATTAACTCTGTTTTCTGTATTGTCAATTAACACTAATTTCTCGATTTTTGTGTGTATGTGTAGAAGATAGGTCTGATCACTTCAAGATTGATGCCAACAGTGGTGAAATAAGAACAACCACAATACTTTTGTATGATTATAGACCTTCCTACAGGATAACTGTCATTGCCGGTGACCAGGGAGTGCCTCCTCTTCAAGGACAAGCAGTCATTAATATCCAGGTAATGTTCTGTCATCACTATGACATATAGAAGGATGTTCTAAAGTTCTGTTTGATTTTTATACAACTGTATAGAGTGAAGATACATTAAATACATGAATATTGTTTTTAGAGAGCATTGCATATTTATGTGTGCCTTTTTATTATTACTAGAGAAATGATTAGGCTCAAATAACTTTTTTGAACTTTGAACAATTCCTGACAAGAAATTTACCTTCATCACTGTAGGGCATTTATGTTGCTTTGTCTTTTCCTTTACTTTTTTCTAATTGCAAAGACCTGGTAAATTTGCAGGAGTAACTTGTATGTAAACAAATGGCCAACAATAAATCACAGAGTTTTTGTAGTTATTTTTAAACAGAAAAATCTCTTGGGATCCATATTCTCAGGTTTAACTTTAATCAGAATGAGAAAAAAAGTTGTGGAAAGTCTTCATAGCAGGAAAAAATTACACCAGCGAGTCAAAAGTAAGATGACTGTGCATAGCCATGTTTCTCTGTCCATGCTCATGATAGTCAGTAATATTAATATTGGTATGAATATATATCCCTAAAAGTTCTGTTTCCAAATTATGTTCTTTATTGATTGAGAATATGTGCGTTAGGAGAAAATCCTGTACTGTAATTCCTCAAGTCTCTGGTTTCAGATAAACAAAGATACATGATACATAAATATACACAGATGTTGCTATTATGGATATATTGGTCTCTGGGATTTAGAGTAATTTGGAGAAGCAGGTCTTCTACATTCTTATTGATAAATCACAGGGCTACAGTTCAGCTTATCCAAATATAACATGGCCTCACCAATATAGCATTTTACACATTAGAACAAATGGGAAGTGGAAAATTTTGTACTTTCTTATCTCCTAGACAGTATGTGATTTTTCAATCATCAGAGGCACACTGGAATTATACAATAAAAAGTACACTTTATCACCAATTAACATACGTATTTCACACAAATAGAAGGAATTAGCTTCCAATGTAACATCATCCCGTGCACTGATTCAACTGTTAAAAAAAAAAGATACCCCAAATTAACAATTTCTTTTCATTCTCATTTCAGGTGATACCACTATCCAAAGGGAGAGCTATCATTTCTCAGAATATAAGACATTTAGTTATACCAGAAAACTTAAAGCCTGCAAAAATAATGAGCTTGATAAAGTCACCTGATCACTTTCAACAACATCACAATGGAAAGCTACATTTTAGTATCGCAGCAGATGACAAGGATGGCCACTTCGAAATCGACAGCTCAACGGGGGACTTGTTCCTTTCCAAAGAACTTGATTACGAAATGACCTCTCATTATCTTTTCAGGGTGATTACTAAAGACCATAGCCAAAACCCTCCCCTGATTAGCACAGTCTTCCTTAGTATTGATGTGGAAGATCAGAATGACCATTCCCCATCTTTTCAAGAGGAGTCCATTGTGATAAGCATAGAAGAGAATGTCCCTGTAGGAACTCTGGTACACGTCTTCAATGCCAACGATGGAGATGGCAGTTTTTTGAACAGTCGAATACAATACTTCATTGAATCCCACCACCCCGGAGTCAATCCATTTCTCATCCACCCCTCCTTTGGCACATTAGTCACTGCATCCCCCCTTGACAGAGAGAGAGTTCCGGCTGTTGTCCTGACAATCACTGCATCCGATCAGGCTGTGAATGTGACAGACCGGCGAGTGAGGTCGCTAATGGCAAAGGTAGTGATTTTGGATGTAAATGACCACAGCCCCACCTTTAAGTCTTTCCCCATTGCTCATGTCAAAGAGGATGCCACAGTGGGCTCCTTGGTGCACCATGTAACTGCTCAAGATCCAGATGAAGGAAGGAATGGAAGAGTAACGTACAGCATCCTCTCAGGAAATGAAAACATGGCCTTTATGCTAGATGAGTCATCAGGTATTTGTCACTGTCACTTAAAGCCTCTGATCACTTGCTTACATTTATCCTGTTCATTGTACTCTGTTAAAATGACGGTTCCAAATGAATGAGCTGTAAAGAAATGTGACTTGATTTTTCATTTAACTTGTATATGTGACAGGCACAGAGGTTGTATTCAGAGAACCAGCTATAAATGGCCTGTTCGTTAATATTGACTATGCACTGTAGCTAGCTCACATTTCCTGGGATGAAACTACAGTAGCAAACTTCTTTGTCCTTACTGGGGTCCTCACAGGGTAGAAGATAGCACCAGAGCACAGAGAGGTAGACTATGACTAACCAACAGCATTATTCAGAAGCTTTAATATGGAAATGTATCTTTAAAGTCATACAAACATACATTTGTAATTAGTTGGAAATAATGTATTTTTAAAAATTTATTTGCTGATTTTAGAGAGAGAGATGAAGGGGGGAGGGAGAGAGAAACATCAGTTTGTTGTTCCACTTAGCTATATATTTATTGGTTGATTCTTGTATGTGCTCTGACCGGGGATTGAACCTGCACCCTTGACATATTGGCATGGTGCTTTAACCAACTGAGTACCTGGCCAGGGCAGAAGTAATGTTGTTTTGTTTTTAATGTATCTTTATTGTTGAAAGTATCACACATGTCCCCCCTTTTGGTTGGATTGATTTGACCACAAAATCCTTACTTCTCATAGCAAATGTACCATCTTAGTTTTGGGCAGAAGCATGTATTCACTGTTAAGTACTCTGATGGTAATGCCACTCGCTGTTACTTTACTTGTCTTGCTATTACCATGTTGCCAAATAACATCTACTAAAAGTTTTGATGTAGTCTGAAGTACAAAGTGTCATTCTTGTGAAACTGGAAATGAACTTCCCTCATTGCGATTTTCAGGACATACTGAAGAGATGGACTACCATCTCAGTCACTAAAAAATAAAGTCATTTCTGCATGAGCCTTAGGAAAAAAAATCTCAGATGTATGCCAGTTGGCCCAACTATTAGTAAAACCGTAATTTGGAATGGGACTGAATGTGTAGGATTTGGAAGTCATGATTATAGTCTGGCTATCGACTGTTGAAAATTTTATCAAAATATTTATTGAATCCCGTACATATGGTTCCATTCTGAGGCGCGCGTGAACACCACCTAAAACTCCAACTGAGAGAGAGATAGTCCAGACCTACTTACTGATTGCTGTTCGAGCTGGAGTCTCCAAGGACCTGTTTCAACAATGCTTAAAATGTTTTCCACAATGGCTCAGGAAGGTCCATTTCAGATTGTTAAGGAGGAGGATAGAATTAGACTGTGTCTCAGTAACATACGTCTCATGAATCTCAAACAACTGCAGTGGCTCAGTTGAGACATTTTTCAAAGACATAAAATGATAATTGCTGAACACATCCATGTGAGATGGGCTGTTGTTTCTCTCACAAGGCTCATCTTTCATGTAAAGAAGACACAGTGAGGGTTTCATGGCTTTTGGCTAGGAAGTGTGAAGTAATAAGTAATTACTGGAAAACTGTTTTATTAAATCTGAAGCAGTAAACCTCTAATTATTCGAAGAAAAGTTCTTACAGGATGAGCATGTGTTTGAGAAGCAAACAATCCTAAAAAAAAAAAAAAAAATTGTGACGATTGGAGTCACGGGACAGTTATATGTGTGCAAGTCTTTGTAACACTGCTTATATGAGTTATGTGCTTCAATGGCAATAGGATGGCGACACATTTTTTTTTTTTTATCCTCACCCGAGGACATTTTTGCATTTATGTTCAGATAGAGTGGGAGGGAGGAAGAGAGAGAAACATCGACGTGAGAGAAACATATTGCCTGGTTGCCACCCACATGACCTCAACCGGGGCCAGGGACAAACTGCAACTGAGAAACGTGCCCTTAGCGGGAACTGACCCCGGGACTCTCTGGTCTGTGGGCCGACACTCTAACCACTGAGTAAACCAGCCAGGGCTGGATGGCAACACATTTTATTCATGAAATTTGTTGGCTGTTATGAAGTCTTCACTATTTTTTATTAATAAAAAAAGACAGTTAATAAAGTAAGTATAACAAAGTAAGTATAAGGAGACTATAACTCTTGCCCTGGCTGATGTGGTTCAGTGGTTAGAGTGTCGGCCGCTGGACCAAAGGGTTGCAGGTTCGAGCCCTAGCCCCTGTCAGGGCACGTGCAGAGGCAGCCAATCAATGTGTCTTTCTCACATCAGTGTTTCTCTCTCTCTCTCCCTTCTCTCCCTCCCTTCCACACTCTCTAAAAATCAAAACATATTTTAAAAAAAGAGAAACTATAACTCTTTATCAAAACTAATTATCTTAAAAACTAAATATCTTAAAGAATGTAGCCGTACTCACCTTTTGTTACTTGGTTACTTTAAACATGAATTGTCATATGACCTGGAGATGTATACTGTGAGAGCCTATTTTTTATTTTATTATTATTATTATTATTATTATTATTATCCTCACCTGAGGACACTTTTGCATTTATCTTCAGATAGAGCCAGAGGGAGAGAGGAAGGAAGAGAGAAAGAGATAAAAATCAATATGAGAGAGACACATTGAGAGGCTGCCACCCACACAACCCCAACCGGGGCTGGGGACAAACTGCAACTGAGGTACGTGCCCTTAGCGAGAACCGAACCCGGGACTCTCTGGTCTGCGCGCCAATGCTCTAACCACTGAGCACACTGGCCAGGGCAAGCCTAGATATTTTTTTAAATGAAGGTCGATGTTGGGTAAAGAAATAATTTTGATATAATCTTCACAATAAATAAAGGTATATGATAGATTGTCTAAAATTTCATCCATCCTTATCGTTTAAATTAGGATGCCTTTTCTGATGAAAAATGTTATCATTTTATTTTTAGCTAATATAGAAATTTAAAGTTGGTCTCAGAAGATTTATAATTTAACAAAGAAAGATTCAGAAGTTTTAGCAAGTTAGATAAGTTAGACATAGAGTGGGCTTGACATTTCTAAAGAATATTTATTACATATTCCTTTTCTCCGCTTTCAAAACAGGCTTTCTAACTACAGCTTGTTCTTTGGATTATGAAATTAAAACCCAGCACATCCTGACCCTTCTTGCCCTGGACGACGGCATTCCGACCCTTTCTTCGTCCCAGACGCTGACAGTGACTGTCCTGGATGTCAATGATGAGGCACCAGTGTTTCAGCAGCACCTGTATCAAGCTTCAGTTAAAGAAAACCAAAATCCAGGGGAGTTCGTCACAAAGGTTGAAGCTATGGACAGAGACTCAGGTAATGCAAAATATGAAAACGAATTAATTAATGCTAAGGTAAAAAATTGAGATGATTTAAACTAGTTATGTCTCAGAAAAATGAGACACTTGTGAATCATCTCCAACTTCTCAGGCCTCTTTGAACAGTATTTACATGATAAAAACCTATCCATGTTGAAAGATAGTGTGTGCTTTTATAGAGCATTTTCTTATATTGATCTTAATCATCATTTATACTACAGTGATACCCACTTAATTAACATAGAATTTATTGATTTAATCTTGATAATAAGCAGAGGTATGACTAGGTGTCACTTTTTTTTTCAGAGTATAATGGATACATTGACTACAGGAAGGCAAATGGTTATTTAGTCTCTTTATAGCATAATGGAAGAGATAGGAGGTTGATGTCAGACTACCTGGATTTGAATCCTAGAACTGCTATTTACTTAAGTTGTGTAACCTTTAACAAGTTACTGTTCCTGTTTGCTTATCTGTAAAACAGAGATAATAATAATGCCTGATTTGTAGTTCTAAGTGTAAATGAATTATTACACATAAAGAACGAAGGCCCATGTCTGGCACACAATAAGTGGTCAATAGATACTAACTTCCGTTATTATTATTACTATTGTTAATGTCAACCACCCTGTTGAGGAAATGGCTTTGAATTAAATGGTTATTATGGCTAAGAATTTGTAACTTCCTAGAATTTCTTGGAATTACTTTTTGATATCACTATTTTGACATTTAAGTTTCAGTAACTTTATTTTCTAAATGTTTATTTTTATTTATTTTTTATCCTCCCAGAGGGCTTTTTTTTTTTTTTGCATTTATCTTCAGATAGAGTGGGAGGGAGAGAGCGGGGAAGAGAGAGAGAGAAACATCGACATGAGAGAGACACATAGACTGGCTGCCACCCACACAACCCCAACCGGGGCCGGGGACAAACTGCAACCAAGGTACGTGCCCTTAGCAGAAACCGAACCCGGGACTCTCCGGTCTGCGGGCTGACGCTCTAATCACTGAGCCAAACCGGCCTGGGCAAGTTTCAGTAACTTTAATAATAACCTGTTTTTATGTTAAACAAAATAATTATAAAAATAACAGTGAAGCATTTGCCATTAACAGCATATGACAGATTTCCCCACTTGAATATGAATAGTTTGATGGCCTTACATAATCAGTATATTTTGTTCTTATAAGACTAATCAGATGTTTCTATAGAGAAATACTGTTAATAATAGCATGTTCCTCCTGTTTCAAAGGGGTAAAAGATATATTTCCTTCAGCTTTTAGTCTAAGTTATATACCATTCAGATGCTTTGCCCTTTTAGAAAACATTGTCTTTTAATGAAATGAGTTTTACACGAATTTGGACATGATGCTACAAAAGCTTTCTTTTTAAGGGCTAACCTAATCTCCCTTTTGACCAGAGCGGGGCAGTGTGATCAAACTATTTTTCTTACTATGCTCAAAGACACACGACTGGAGCATGCTAACAATTGCTTGAATTAGCCTTGCTTAAAGAATTTATCTAGCTCATTTCTCACAGTATGGTTTTTAGGGTGTTGGGAAAAAGGGAGAATATACATAAGCTTTGTGTTTCACCATAATTCCGGTTCAGTAAAGTGCTTTTAGTGTGTGCTCTGTGCTCTGGTATAAACTGAACAACCCAGGGCTCGTGTACAATAGAAACCACTTCCCCAAGTACACAGGCAGACACGAGCCCATCCCTGATGTGCCAGTGAGCCATCAGGACAGTATGTAAAATGCTTCCTCCCCTGGACCTACTTTAGCTTCTTAACTGTATTTTTTTGTAACGGACTCCACTGCAAGGATCTCTTTTGCTTTAAATATTTGAAGAGGGAGGAAAGAATTTCTCTCAAATTTGCATATATCAACTAAAGATGATTATCATAAATATGCTTTCTGATTTTTTACTGTCAAGTTGTCTAGTGTTCATGTTATTTTCTTTTGGAATTAATAGTCTGCAACCTGTTACTTGAATTGAATGTTCCTCATTCTAGAGGTGATGGTTTGCTGGATGGAGGATTTAGATGTAAACTTAGTTTTTCTGGCTTTGCATTTATGGATTGTTGACATACACATTTAGCATCTTCATGAGTCTCTTGTATCTTCACATGTTTCAGAGATAATTTTGGTTTCACTGGAAATCTGAGTGTTTTTAGTGTGGCCAGATCTGTTAAGCAAGTGGTTATGAAAATGCACTTGAATTTGTGTGTATGCATGTGATTTTGAACATATTTTCCCTCTTTTTTTTTCCTTGTTGGATTAAAACAATGAAAAAGAATTATGCATGAGAATTAAATGACGTAGTCAAGATCTTAACATACTGGCATCATGTTGGAATTTATGAATGGTTTCCTTTATAGTATGCATTTTTTAAAAAATACTATAGCATTACTTAATACCAGAAAGCTGAACATATGTTTTCTAGTATTCTACAATGTAGTTTTAAAAAGTGTAAGCCTAAAGTGTCGGCCTTCAAAACCCATGAGAATTCAAGCACTGAATGTTTATGATGTATGACTCACACTAGTTCTAACGGGAGTTTTTTTTTTCTTATATTAAAAGGAAAAAACATCTACTAGGTTTTAACTAAGATATTAAAACCGCTACAGTATTTGGTGCTACCAACAAGAGCTCCATTGTTAATAAGCAAAGCTGGTCCCTCAGGGCGCCCCTCCCACTGTGAGGGGAAAGGGTACGCCCCCAGAGAGGATGATTTACTCCTGGCTGATACGTTTACTCAGTACTGGAGAATATGAAATAATTGAACAGTACGTTGCAATACAGAAGTGTTGAATTCTACAAGGAGATCTTATTCTCTATTCCATAAAAATGTGTTCTCTACCTGGGTTTATGAATGAACTCTACAACTGGTTGCCTGGAGACCGTCTCATGCTGGATGAACAACTGCACCGAACATCCTGCACGTGAAGCAACAGGGCTGGGGCAGTATTTCACCTATTTCATGGGGGCTGGGGCACCATTAATTATGAAATGTATCTCATTTTAGAAATGTGAAGAAAAGTCTTAGAATTAATGACACAATAAACAGGAGAGAGAGAGAGAGTAAGGACCACCCCGAGAGAAACACTTTTGAAATGTGCATAGTCTTATTTCATTTAATTCATAATATTGTAATTGTATGATTGTTTACTTGTCTGCCCGCCCATCGGGACGCGAGCTTCTCACGGATTGAGGATGCAGCTTGTTCACTTTGATCCCAAGCAAGCTCTGACTTGGGAGCTCAGTGGCCGGGCTTGGCTCTGTGATCTGAGAAACTGCAGCGTCTGTGAGATCGGCTGCTTCAAGTTGCCTTCACTCTTCAGAATCCGTTCATCTCTTTATTCTTTCATTCAGTCAACCAGGCATGGTCCTCGTTTTGCTTCAGAAATGTCTGAGCTGCCTGGCATTGTACAGTTGAGGGATTACATGAAAAATGATCTTCCTGGAAAGCATATCTGAAAAAAGCTCTCCCATGGTCAGCATTCTTTACTGATTCCCCAGGGTTTTGACAGTCAAGTTCTATTGTGTTTTTAGTGTAACCACCGGGCATTTTATGAAGTGACTTCAGCTTCCCTCTGTCCTCAACTCTTATCACTCTCCTACCCTTTACTCTAGGAGAGGGTTCTGTAAACTGTTCTCTGTAATGGTGGAGACAGTACATGTTTCAGGCTTTGCAGGCTGTGCGGTCTGTGTTACTCAACTCTGTCACTGCAGCGAGACAGCAGCCATAGAATTTACATAAAGAAATGAGTGTGGCTGTGTTTCAATGAAACTAGACAAAAGCAGGGGCGGGCTGGATTTGGCCAGTAGTTTGCTGACTGCTGGTCTAACACATCTAAATTACTTGCTACTTTCTGCTCATCGGTCCTGATTATGATGTCATCAAAGTAGTGGATCTGTATGATGTTTTACTGGGTGCCAAGATGATCAATATCCACCAAGTAGATGATGACCGATGGTGGAAGAGTTTACCCTAAAGACGTACTCCGTTGTTCTTGCTGCTTAGAGTAAATCACTTTGGATAGTCCTTATAAATTAGTGTAGATCATTGGTTTTCAAAAGGTGGTCCCAAGATCAGTGGCTCTACCGTCTACCGTCTACACAGAGACAACTACCAAAGGACTTTTAAAGGTGTCTCTTTGACCAATGTCTTTCCAAGGCTCTTTATGACGGGAGAGTTCTTGGAACTTGAGAAATATAACAGGAGGGGGGAGGGGCATGTCAGACATGATAAATCCATCCTAACATTCCCATTTCCTTAAGCTTTTGGACTCTATAGTATGCAAGGGAAGACCTGGCCTCTCAATCTCAGTAACGATAGGCCAGTATGAGTCTAGCCAATCAAGGAAACTGTCAAGAGACATAGCTACATGAGCTAACACATTAAATTCATAATCACTGGTAAGCATGCCATATCAATAAATCCATCCTGAATCAAAGTTATATTTTATTTTTTTTGGCTCTCACATGCTCAGAAATGACTTCCACACATATTTCTCAGGTTTGTTTCAATATAAGTTAGAAAACTTGATATTCTTTTGAAACTACAAGCTGTCTCCCTCTGAGTCATATTTGTACATGACTGCCTGCAATCTTTTGAGATCTGACTCTAGTTATGGCTCTTCAGGTCAATAAGCATCCCGTTGTAAGAAGTTACCTCTTGCGTCTGCCACTCAATTTGGGTCTGATCTTCAGGAGGTTACTTTTAGGGCTCCCATAGAAGCTTTCTGCTGTTCGCACTATGTCTGAGCTGCGAGTGCAAAGCCTCGGCTTGTAATTTTCTTTCTGCAAGTGCCTAGTGCACTCAGAAACAGCCATCTCATGGTATATTCCTTTTTTTTTTTCATTCTTTTTTTTTTTTTATCCTCACCCAAGGACATTTTCCATTTTTTGTTCAGATAGAGTGGGAGGGACAGAGAGAAAGAGAGAGAAACATCAACGTGAAAGGGACACATCGAGTGGCCGCCATCCACACAACCCAAACAGGGCCGGGGACAAACTGCAACCAAGGTACACGCCCTTAGCGGGAACCGAACCCGGGTCTCTCTGGACCACAGGCAGACGCTCTAACCGCTGAGCCAAACCGGCCAGGGCTGGTATATTCCTTTTTATAGTCATATGGCCCAAGTCAGCGCCATTTGGTCCTCTGAGGAATTTGAGTCCTTGACTAGTCACTTCATTGCAATTGAACACAGGTGATTATTTAATTGATTGTGATAGTATTGTAAGTGATAAATTACCAGTATTCCATTTCCCATGGGCAAGGAACTCAGCAGTGTATTCAAGGCCAAAGACACAGTCAAACCAAACCCAGAGTTCCGGTTACCTGGGACCCACTGTTGGTGCCAAGTACTGTGCCAGTCCAGTGCAGTCGGGAAAACCAGGTGTTGGAAAGTGAGTAAGCCAAAAGGGAATCGCGAAGTAGCCCAGGAAAAATACTGGAGAAGAGACTGAGATGATCAGAACCTAGGACGAAACCGAGAGAAGGAACCTTGCGGAGCCTGATCCTGGGAGTACAAAAGGGACTGAAAGCTGTGGGCAGTTGATGCAGCCAGTGAGATGGCATTGCTGATAGGACAGTAAGCACCTGGGAGGGAGGAAGTCCCATCTCTCCCCTTCTGACTCTCAGTGTCCCTCTGACGTCCCTTTGAGGCCAGAGCTCTTTCTGCTCTCTTACACATTAAATCCTATTCGTCTTCAGGGTCTCAGCTTATAGTAAAGGCAACTTATACTTACTCAGTCATGTCTTATCATGTGGAATTGGAATTGCCTGCTTACTTCTCTGTATCCAGTGTGTACTGTAGGCACTGTGAGGGTAGACCATTTGTCTTCTTGCCATCAGCTGTATTCTTAGCACCTGGCACAGTAACTTGGCACCTATTAATCACCCTCTCTACATGTTTATTGAATGAGATAAGTAATGAACAAGCTATATACCTGTGATACACCTTCCCTGATCCACTTACTCAGTGATTTAGTATATTTTACCACATTGTGTATAACTCATTGACTTCATTGTTTCCCCCACTAGAAGATAGTTCTGAGGGTTGGGATAATTGCTCATTATTCAGTGGTACCTTTCCAGTGCCTGGAACTCAGTGGATGTGCATTATGAAACACATAAATGAATGTATGTATGCATGAATGAAGGACTTAAGCCACCAAATTACTGGAGCTCAGTGCAACATGGTGTCATCTGTTTATGCTTAGAAACTGAAGCCAGTGGGTTAGGAGGGAGGTAGAATGAATTCCTTTTCCTCCTTCCTTTTTCCCCTCTCTCCCTTTGTTCCTTCCTGTCTGTCTTTTTTTTTTCTTTCCTCAACATCAGTCAGCAATATCTGAAGGTAAGAACTAAAAATGACCAGTAGATTTTATAACAGAAGGTCATTGGTGACTGTGGGAAGAGCAGTCAGGTATGGCGGTAGTGTCAAGCTAGCTGCAGAGAAGGGTAGTATTTTTCAAAAATACTTGGCTGTAAAGGAAAGGGGGGAAATTATTGATTCTTATAACTAAAGAAAAATATAATTTTAGAGAAAAAGTTAGTGAGAAAGACTAGAACCAACAGGAAAATTCCAAGGAGGGTATTTGAAGAATTATTTTGCTATGGAGACAGAATGCAGAAGCTAGAGTTGAGTATAGATGCAAAAAAATGGGAGAGTTCTTTCTCAATACACTCAGTTTATCTGTGAAATAGGAAGGGGAGGATCATGAGAGTTAGCCGGGAGGTGTTTGAGTGGAAGACACGAATGGGAGAGAGGTGACCATGGAGATTTGGAAAGATCACCTGATGACAATGACATTTCAGTGGCCTCAATGTATGCTGTTGTGAAGTGTTCTCCAGCTCCAGTAGTCTGCTGGATATTCGAGGGCAGGGAGATGGTTGGAATGCTCCTGGGTTGCAGCTTTGCTGGTCACCTTTAGCAAACAGCCACAAGACCTGAGGACATTTCTGAGGTTGCCAAAGTGAGAATTCTTGGTGATGGCCGTGATGGGAGAATAACTGAATTGAGGAGGAAGGTTAACCTAGAGTGGGAGAACTTAAGAGGTCATAAGTTGTAGGTCTTGAGGTCTGGGAGCAGAGGTATGTACGTGTGCACAGACACGGGCGCACACACACATCCTTCACCCAGTGTGTGTCATAAGCATACCAGAGAAGAGCTTCCGATCCGCATTTCCAAATTGCTTAGTAAGAATGGAATTTGACTAAATAATCTCTACTTTATTTTATTTATTAGTTTTCAAGTTTGGCGATGCTCTCTTTCTTCTGGTGGATTATAAGGGTGTGTGGAGGAAGAAGCAAGGGACTAACTGAGTTCTAGAAGAGCCAGAGTAAAATACTTTGCGTTTAGCTCACATTATGTAAGTTGTGAGGGTATGTGGTTTGGAGTATGAAAATGTGTGCATGCAAACTCTACTTATAAAGAAAGATTTTTATTTTTAATACACTAGGAGGTTTGGGGGTGAGTGATTATTTTACAGAGAAAAGCTATATCAAATAATAGAAATAATAAAGTCAAAAAGTAAGAGGAATATTGGTCATAGTGGCAAAACACATTAGTGAACAATGAGAACAATGGAAGGGAGGGAAAAGATAAAGATTTAAGTTTGTGTTTAAACATTTAAAGATATTTCTAGTTTTGACAAGTGTTGGGAATTAAAAGTACATAATATGTAATATATAATGTTATTGTTATTATTATTTTTTTTTATCCTCACCCGAGGACATTTTTGCATTTATCTTCAGATAGAGCAGAAGGGAGGGAGGAAGGAAGAGAGAAAGAGAAACATCAATGTAAGAGAGATACATTGACTGGTTGCCACCCACACAGCCCCAACCGGGGCCAGGGACAAACTGCAACTGAAGTATGTGCCCTTTAGCGGGAACCGAACCTGGGACTCTCTGGACTGCGGGCCGATGCTCTAACTGCTGAGCCAAACTGGACAGGGCATATATAATGTTATTTGTAATGTATAATAAAATCATATAATAAGTGAGTATATTTATTTAAAAAATAAAAGGTCCAAAAATTAAAAGATGCTTTTCTTTATGTAAGCTCCCTGAAGGCAGAGGCCAAACCTGTTTGATTTACCACTGTCTCCTTGGCAAATTAACACTCTGCTTGTTACACACAATTTTGCTCAAAATTTGAGAAACAAGCAAAGCAGACATAAGATGGTTTTGTTCCTATTTTCATAATGTATAATGTAGGAAGAGATAGACAGGAATAACAAATCTTTTTTCTTTTTTTGGTTAATCCTCACCAAAGGATATTTTTCCATTGATTTTTAGGTAGAGTGGAAGGGAAGGGAGGGAGAGAGGGAGAGAAACATCTATGCGAGAGAGACACATCGACGGGCCACCACCCACATGACCCCAACTGGGGCCAGGGATCAAACCTGCAACCCAGGTACCTGCCCCTGACCAGGAATCAAACCCATAACCCTTCAGTCTGAGGGCAAATGCTCTAACCACTGAGAAAACTGGCCAGGGCAGAAATAACAAACTTTTAACAACCTGGAATGTTTAGGAATTTTGTCTTGACTAGAGGAGAGATTATGTGATCATTATGAGATCAAAGTAAGCACTATAGTATTCAATAATTATTAATGTGATAATATGTCAGAAGCCTAATGATAGAATGAAATATTTTGGTCACCTCTGACAATATCATATCAAATATATTGATCCTATGTTATTAGACGTTTAAAAAGTCATTCAAATGCCTACAGATTATCTCAAATATCTTTTTCAAGGGACGTAGTAAGAAAACACGTGCGTTTATTCTTCTATAGAACTAGCAATACATTCCACTTCTCCCAGCACTTCGTCCTGTGTTACATACAGTAGATCACAGTGAAACTTACATTCTGAGACTGGCTAGATGGAAATATATAGTTGAAGTTTTTTTTCTTAAGGCCAAAGAACAGTACTTCATCTTTTATTAAAGTATAAAATCATATATTGTAAGTACTATATGTATGCACAGATTCTCGTCAGTTGAGAAAAGAACACAGAGAAATGATTGAAAGGAACGTGTGTCAGGTGCAACGAAGCTACAATGGCACAGGATAAGCCCACTGAAGTTAATGGTGCGAACGGGCTTCACAACCTGTGATGGAAGTGGCTGGATACTTCTCTCAGGGGAGAAATGAAACCACGAAAAATATGGGAAGAATTATTTTCCACTATGTAATAATGCAGTACCACAGTTCTCACCCAGAGAGGAGGCTGACCACCAAGTAGAAAACAAAACAAAAGATATGCAGAGAAGCAAGCCTGTGAGCTCTCCTTCTGCTCTGGAGAAATGAACAGAGAACCAGGACTGAGCACGAGCTTTGAAATAGGGGGTCAATCTATAGAAACTGTCCTTTGCCCCGCAAGCCTACAATTATGTCATTAAGCCACAATCAGGGGTTTTAGAAGGAGTAATTAGGAATATGTTAGAGAGTTGCACACTCATAAGAGAATTTTTATGGGAGGGAAAAAATCTTAAGCATTCACTGTGGGGAAGTCTCATAAGACTTTTGAAAATCAAGCATTTCAGCTCATGAAGCTTTTATTTAGCAAGAACAACCAAAAGAGTTGTTTTGTTTTTGTTTAACCTTAATTTGAAGGTTGTTTAAGCGTCCTGCCTTCTTAATCCATCGCCTAACATGTTCATAGGCAAAAGAATAAGAAAACAGATGAATGGATTCCCAAGGGATAATTGCTAAACATTTTTAAATATTTTTCTTCAGGCGTCAATTCCAAGCTTCGATTTGAAATCATGCCAGGTGCATCGTCTGAGCTGTTTGAGATCAATCCTGACACTGGGGAGTTGGTGACAGCCACCACACTTGACAGAGAAGTTCAGGAAGTCTTCACCCTCCGAGGTAAGGGATCCCTCGACTCTGCTAAGCGAACAAACAAAAATGGGCCGTGGGAGGTTTAGTGTTGAAATTTTACACTTCAGTAGGGTGTCTTTAAATGAAACATTATTGGGCCAGTGCCACCGGTCAGCTTGGTCTGAAGCTGTCTAGGTAGGGCAGTGTATTTTAGGTATGAGTTAATGGCCACCATTTCTTCATTCCATGTCAGTCCTTGTTCGAGACGGGGGAGTCCCTTCCCTGTCTGGCACCACCACCATTCTCTGCACTGTGGAAGATGAAAACGATCATGCTCCGAAGATTATTGTCCCCACTCATGACATTGAGGTTCTGGAAAACCAAGAACCAGGGGTTGTCTACACCATTTTGGCCTTTGATATGGATTCCGGCAATAATGGAGCTGTCAAGTATCATATAATTGGTAAGTATTTTCTTTATTAAAATTCTCCCTATGATACAGACCAAGTTGACACACACTGTATGGTAATGATTCTGTATGTGGTATTTATTGCAATGTCTACAAAAAACACACCCAGTAAGAACTGACCCTCTCTACCTCCTTCCTATAGCCATTCAGAACCCCTACCCTCCAAATCCTTTTAAAACCTGCCATCGACTCTTGTAAATTTTTTCTACAGGGCAATGCATTGTATTGCCCTAAATTATTTAACATTAGTGGACGTACAGATGGAATAGTTTATTTTATTTCCTGCATTTGTTCCTCTCTTATAGTCACTTATTTTTATTATTTTAGCAATTCAGACTTTTTTTTTTTTTTTTTTAATCCTCACCCGAGGACATTTTTCCATTCTTTTGCACAGATAGAGTGGGAGGGAGAAAGTGGAAGAGAGAGAGAGAGGGGAGAGAGAGCGGAGAGAGCGGAAGAGAGAGAGAGAGAAACATCGACGTGAAAGGGACACATCAAGTGGCTGCCACCCGCACGACCAACCAGGGCCAGGGACAAACTGCAACCGAGGTACGTGCCTTCAGCGGGAACCGAACCCGGGCCTCTCCGGACCGCAGGCGGATGCTCTAACCGCTGAGCCAAACCGGCCAGGGCAGCAATTCAGACTTTTTTCAGGTCTTTGTAAATGGACCTCGAGGACATGAGCGGGCAAACGAGTCCCATCTGCACGCCTAAGTAACAGCACCTCAGATTCACAGCACACCCTGCAGGTCGCAGTCTCCAGGACCTTCCTCCCCGGAGGAGAGTGTTGTGATATGGCTCCCTTTGGATCGGAGGCATAAGAATTTGTGACAGAATAATTTCTGTGTGAGCATGGCCAGCTTGAAAGAAGCATATTTTATTGACCTAAAAGAAAAGTCATTGAAGAATCTGACTTTTAACATGCATCAGAGAGTACATAGAATGATAGGAGTTAAGGAGCGAGTGATGCTTCAGAGACTGCTTCAGATGAAGAGAAGTTGCCTCAAATTCTCTGCGTTTTAACACTGGCTCTGGAAGTGATCACTCTGCATTGGCTAAAAATTCTATAGCCAAGTACGTTTTCTATGCACCACCCATTCGACTCCAAAATGAAAACAGTTTTGTCTTTTTCTCTGATTATGAAATGATATATAATTGTTGTAGAATATGTATACAATTTATAAAACAAAACAAAACAAAAGTAATAACACAGCCCTGGCTGCTTTGGCTCAGCGGTTAGAGCATCAGCCTGCGGTCCAAAGAGACCTAGGTTCGATTCCTGCTGAGGGCACGTACCTTGGTTGCGGTTTGTCCCCCGCCCTGGTAGGGTCATGCGGGTGGCAGCCACTCGATGTGTCCCTTTCACGTCAATGTTTCTCTCTCTCTCTGTCTCTCTGTTTATCTCCCCCCCTCCCCCCGCTTTATCTGAACAAAAAATGAAAAAATGTCCTCAGGTGAGGATAAAAAAAAAAAAAGTAATAACACAAAAACCTTATGTCTTGCAAAGATAACTCATTTGGTATTGGAAAATTTTTTCCATGAACTTCAGTGAATACAGACACCGATTTCATATGTATTGAATAATTTATATAAGCTTGTTTGTCCCTTCATTTTTTAAACAGTATATTGTGTAAATCTTACATGTAGTGAATACATCTTTCTAATGATGTCTCTAACGTATATGCATATCATTTATTTCACGCATCACTTTTTATGGTCATTGCGTACAATCTTACAATGATAAAAGTGCTGTGTTGAAAAATATTTATATTATTTTCTTATGATAAAGGTAATATGTACTGCCATCCCAAAGAACAATACTCCCTCAGAGTAACATATCAGTAAGCCCAACTCTTACCTCTTTCCTTCCTATTGCAGTGGAATAGATATTTTCCTCCTCTGTGAACTCCACCTTTCTAGAACTTCTCAAACTACCTCTGGTTAAGGAGCAACGTTTATATTTTTAAATTTTTCAATCTTTTGTGACTGATACTTCTATAAAATGCAGTAAGTTCTAAGTTACTGGGGGAAAGAATCAAAAGCATACAAAATGCAAATCCAATTTTAAAGAACTATTAGTTATAATCCTCAGGCTTAAAATTACTCTCTTGAGTTGCTATAACATTTCCTAAGTGCTTACTCTCAATTTCTGTGTTTATCTGGATGAGGACCAATTACAAACAATTTCCAGACTGCCCCCTGTCCCCTTCCTCTGCATCAGGGACACCCCTAGGCTCACTCACTACTCTTTCCCGTATTGCCAACATTTCTCCTATTGGCTCTTCCCATCGCTTTCTACCAGTCTTTCCCATCTCGAAAAACATCCCCCTCGCATGCATCCCTTCACTCACTATCTTTTTTCCTTCACTATCAAGTTCCTTAAAATCATCTGCACTCTGCTTCAGCGTCTTTACCTCACTTACATTCCTTCACCTTTTGCAGTATGTATTCCACTGACGTCACTCCGCTAACACTAAGGATCTTGCTGCTAAATCCAGTGGATCCTTTTCAGTTCTTGATTTAATTGTACTGCCTTGTGCCTTCATGCATCAGGCCCTAGACACCTGGTCTCACCTTGACTTCAGAAAGCTACTTTCTCCCCAGCCTTCTAGACAACCATCCTGGGGTCTTTGTTCTTCAGTGGTCCTCTGCCTCGTTGGGGTGTCTTTGTTCTCCTGTGGTCCTCCGCCTTTTTGGGGTGTCTTTGTTCTCCGGTGGTCCTCTGCCTTTTTGGGGTGTCTTTGTTCTCCGGTGGTCCTCCGCCTTTTTGGGGTGTCTTTGTTCTCCGGTGGTCCTCTGCCTCATTGGGGTATCTTTGTTCTCCGGTGGTCCTCTGCCTTGCTGGAATTCCCTGGGTCTTTTGTGCTCATCCTTTTTCTTTCCTCATACACACACACTCTTAATGGTCCGTTTCGTCCAGCCCCTGTGTTTAGCAACCATGGGTACCCCAGTATCTCCCAATCCTTATCTGCATCCTACATCTCAGTCCCGTTAAAGACCCTTTTTATAAAAAAAAAAAAAAAATAGTGATTCTCATACAAATATAAAATTAACAACTGCCAAAGATTTGTATTTAACTCATTAACTAATGAACAAACAAAAAAAGATGTTAAATTGATTCAAGGAAAATTCTAAGAAACACACAAAAAAAACAAGAACTATTTGTCAAATATTTAGAGTGGTCAAGTAGCTGAAGACGATGAAGGTGGAAGACAACTCTGACGGCAGAACCAGACTGGACACCCAGTAATCATTTCTTAACCTCAGGATACCCACTTAGTTTTTTCCTCCTACTTCAAATTGTTTCCCAGTTTTTCCTGGCAGCTTCAAGGACCTAATATTTCTATACAACAACATCACATTATCAATGTGTCCAAAACCAAACTTAGCAGCAGAATAGCCCCTTTTCAGTGCCCCCCGTCATGGTCTGTCTTCTCCTACAGTCTCTGCTGGTGATCATCAGCATTTTTTTAAATAAACTTTCCCTTAAAAGAATCTTGTTACACATGTAAGCCCTGAAAATACTTGTTCACAAGACAAGGATTATTGTTATAGCAGTAGTGGTTCTGAGTTTTATAATTCCAGATCAATGAATGGTCTTTATTCTCATTTATTCACCACTTAGAAATTTGAATAGGTCCTACAATTTAGTTCATAGTGAAGTTGCTGTCCAGCCACCAAAGGACGCCAGGCATGAAGGTCAGTTAGTTTCAACATCAACCGCCAGTACTGGGAATGCCCCTTTGCTTGGAAGGAAGTTGTACACTCTAGGGCAGTACGCCTTGGTCAGGTTGGATGGTTAAGAGGTGAGCCTTTCTCTTATAATCTGAAAGAAGGGAAATTGCAAAAGTGAATGTGGGAAAGACAAACCCACGTGATCCTAGGTGATTTCTCGGGCAGAACAATTTTAGGCATAAGGACATGTAAACTGAGCTTCTGGAAATTACCTTAAAACTACCTGTCCCCAGCTACTCCCTGGAAAACCTCAGATCACCCCGGGAGCACTCAGCCCTTCCTTTAAAGAGAACTGGTCTAAACACTCGTGTCTTTCACCTAAGCCCATCACGAATTCTTCCTTCCTTGCTTCTTATTTTTCCTCCTTAATATGTTTGGAATCTATCCACTCCTTCTGTGCACTTTTGATTTCAGAACCTCCTCATTGCTCCAGGAGATTACTGGGATAATCCCCTAACCTCCTGTGTTCTAATCGAGCTTTGACACTGATGCCCAGGACTCTTGCTAAAACAGAAGTGTGGCTCATGACACTTTCCTGCCTGCAATCCTTCAGGGACTCCCCATGGATTTAAAGACAGAGAGAGTAGAGACTCCTCAGCAGTGTATATGGAGCACTTTATGATTCAACCCCCTGCTTACCTCCAAAATCCACTGCCAACCTTCTCCCTGCCCTCAGCACTCAAATACCCAGGTAACCCTGTGTTCACTAAACATTTGCAACCATTAATTTCTCCTACTCCTGGGACTTCACACACATTCTCCCCTCTTCCTCTTCCTCCTCCCTCTCTTTGAAATGTGCAGCCTGTCTCCCCTGCTTTAGGAGTGAGTAGCTTAGTAACTCTTTCTAATAAGCATGTCCTGGCCATTCTAACACAGCACTGTGTGCCCCTCCTCCGTGCTCCCCAGGGCCCTGTATGTATGATTTTCACACCATACTTGCATGTCCAGGTACTGACCCACATTTCCTCCTGAGCTATAAAGCCTTGGGGCTGGGACCATGTCCTACTCTGCTCCTATCCCAGCGTCCAGCACCTACTTGGTACATGAGAGCTGCTCCTTAAGTGTATGCTGAGTAGATGAATTGCTTTATCAAACCACAAATGCCACAGAAATGTAGTTCGTGTGATCATCCCTATATTTGGTGCAAATTAGCCATGACTTATGAATAAACACAAATGCAAGTCCCTTCCCTCAGCCCCTGGCTCTGCTCCTGGCTACTGCGTTCTCTGAATGCCATCCACGTCTTTCCCATAGGCCTCTGGTGGACTCCCATAAATCCCGACACAATTGCGAACAGTGCGCCTTATCCAAGAATATGCCCCTCAACAAAAATATGCCCCCATCCAAGAATATGGCCCGCAAGTCATTGAACCATATTTTTCCTGACTAATGTTCAGAGTGACTTTCCAATGTCTTTGAAAGTGTTTTGTCCTGTGTTCTGTTGTAACTTATATTTCACTTAGTACCATGGACAATAGTAAAGAAAAGATAGTTTTGAAGGATGCAGAGGTGAATGAAACACCCTTCTTGCTTATGTTACGGAAGACATGGACAAGTGTTCCACTAACAGGATTGTTGTGCCTCTTGCACAGAATGCCATCGAAATGTAGAAGGGGAATGTATGCTGTCACAGAAGTGGCCGACAATCTGTAGTAATGTTTGGGAAAATTACAGCTATCAATCTGTAAAGTATTTTTTTTTGTTTTATCCTCACCCGAGGACATTTTCCCATTTTTTTGTTCAGGTAGAGTGGGAGGGAGAGAGAGGAACAGAGAGAGAGAGAGAGAGAGAAACATCGATGTGAAAGGGACACATCGAGTGGCTGCCACCCGCACGACCGACCAGGGCCGGGGACAAACTGCAACCGAGGTACGTGCCCTTAGCGGGAACCGAACCCGGGTCTCTCAGACCACAGGTCGACGCTGTAACCACTGAGCCAAACCGGCCTGGGTTGTAAAGTATTTTTTGCATTTCTTTTTTAAAAATTTTATTTTAGTGACAGAGAGGGAAGGGGAGAGAGAGGGAGAGAAACATCCATTAGTTGTTCCACTTATTTATGCATTTTTTGGTTGATTCTTGTATGTGCCCTGACCAGGGATTGAATCCGCAACCTTGACATATCAGGACGATGCTCTAACCAACTGAGCTACCTGGCCAGGGCTTGTCAACGTGTTAATTTTTTATTGATATATGAAAATAGACATTATATCCTCTTTCTTATCTCTGCCTACTATTGTTTTATTTCAAATAAAGCATACATTTTAATTCTTTCTAAAGGGAAAACATATGAATATTAACACTGTACATCTACACACACACAAATCATTCTTCTACAAATCAGTCAAAGCAAGTATTCCAATTATTGATTGAATGAAGATAGATATTGAATTATAATATTTTGTTTATTCCCCAATAATAGAAGCTTCATGAGGGCAGGGATTGATCCTTCATGCTCACTGTTAGCGCCTCAGCACTTCCAAAAGCACCATGATGCAGTAATCAGGAAAGAAGTACTTGTTGAATGAATGAGTCAACGAATATGTATGTATATATTGCTAGCCAAGGGCTGCCACTTTTCTGATTCAAGTGAATTTTGAATTTATTTTCTTTAATAGATGGAAATACTGATGAGTACTTTGCTATTAATGAAACGTCAGGAGAACTCTCAACCACCCGCGCTTTGGACCGGGAGCACGTCAACAGCTTTGCCCTCGTCATCCTGTGCTCTGACCTGGGGGATCCTCCCAGGAGCTCACTCGTGCAGTTGCAAGTTCGAGTCTTGGATGACAATGACCACAGCCCTTCCTTTCCCTTGCTTCAGTACCAGTGCTTCGTGAGAGAAGACGCTGACGTGGGAACCGTGGTTCTTGTGCTGTCTGCTGTGGACAAGGATGAAGGCCAGAATGGGCAAACTGAGTACCTCCTGACTGACGAGGCTTCTGGTGCCTTCACCATTGACCCCGTGGCAGGCACTTTGCGAACTGGCCACACCCTCGACCGGGAGGCCAGATCTCAACATACATTTCGGGCTGTGGCCAGAGACTGTAGCGTCCAGGGCTCAAGAAGCACCACAGTAATTATAAAAGTACATGTCACGGATATGAATGACAATGACCCAGTTTGGGAACAGAACCCCTTTGATATTTTCCTTTCCCCTCAGTCACCTATAAACCAGACGGCTGCCATTCTGAGAGCAAGTGACCCAGACTTGGGGCCCAATGGAACTGTCATTTTTAGTTTTGCGGAGACCCAGTCAATGTTTTCTATTAATAAATACACAGGAGAGATTCAGCTTCAGCAAAACCAATCTTCAGAATATTTTCCCATCTGGCTGCAGCTTAAAGTTATGGACCAAGGGGTCCCAGCTAGGACAACCAGCGGCCTCTTGGTCATTCACATGGAAGGAGAAGATGTCAAGATGTCGTTCAGCCACCATCTGTATAAAGGGGTTGTGGCTGAAAACTCTGAGGCAGGTAAGTATCTCTGAGGATTTTTGGTATTTTGTGCTTATTTTGAAAAAATGCTTAAAACTAAGGATTATACAGTAAGAGTGCTATTGTAGATTTATTTTCGATCTAGCCAATTCTTGTATGTTAGTTTTCATCCAAAGTATATCAGAAAAATATGCTCAAATACAGTAAAAGACACACACATGACTATTTTCCTCATAACATTATTTTTCAATAATTCCCATGCAAATTTATGCCATAATGGAAAACATAAAAAACACCCTACCAAACAGATTCATTTAGAATGTCCTTCTAACAAAAGAAAAACAAAAAACTTCTTTGTAGATTGTTGTGAGTGAAAAGAAATCCAGTCCAGGTAATGATATCCAACTAGAGAGCAGAGAACCGGATGTTCTGACCCCCTTTTCCCGCCCGAGGGCAAAGCAAAGGGATGCATGGGTTTGGGGTAGGAGTTTGGTTGCTGAAGCTCTGGTGTGTGATGTGTGCTTGCTCATGTCATTTTGTTGTTGTTGTTCTTTTTGTTTGTCATTTTATCACGATTCCATTTTACTTTATACCTACCTGAACCACTATTTAAAAGGCAACCTGCCACTTTTCTGAAATTGATTTATTCATTTCTTAGTGAAAATATATTTTGCACATTCTATACTGCCTCCTATATGAAAAGAGACTAATCAGTTTAATATTGAATACTAAATTAGGGTTGTTCTCAGTTGCAGATTATTAACCTGACTTCTACCCTCTTTTGAATTATGGGTTGCTTACTCAGAAGTTGTTATTGATTCTAAACATAATAAAGAGTAAATTGCAATGATCTTCATTAAATGAAATGATAGTGGCTTGTAAAATCAGAAATTTCCAACCTATATCTATTTTTATGTGTAATGAGACTTCCACATAAGAATTAAATGTTAAAAAATATGAAATTCTTAGAGCTACATTCCTATTCCTCTTAAGAGGCATACATACCAACCTCATAACCGAGCCTGAGGGAAAATAAAGCTGACATGTTCCAAATAATATAGCACAAAATGCAATATATTAATCAATCTTGAAATTAATCTGATACAGTCATGATCAAGCCCAGCCTTCATCTGTAGTGCAGATACAAACATTTCTCCCGAAACATGTTTGACATGTGTTCTTCCAGTCTCGACTTGAATGTTTCAGTGACGGAGAGTTTAGGACAGTGGTTCTTGAACCTGGGTATAAAACCAGTGATCTGTGAACCTCCCACCTCTGCCACAGGTCCTGCCTCTCAGTTCTTCCAGGTTCTGCTTAAGTCTGGGGTCCAGACCCTGTTGTTTTTAACAAGCTCTGCAGGTGATCTGTTGCATAACACAGTTGGAAAACCCCTTCATTTGCAAAGTCATTCATACATCTGCCTCTTTTGTGTTTATCTATAAATCCCAGTTCTGCCCCCTGGAGCACTGCTGTATACAGTCACTCTTCAGATATGTGTGTGTGTGTGTGTGTGTGTGTGTGTGTGTGTGTGTGTGTGTGTGTATTTTTTTTGGTATGTGCCTCTAGCGGGAACCGAACCCGGGACTCTCTGGTCCACAGGCTGATGCTCCATTCGCTGAGCCAAACCAGCCAGGGCATCTTCAAATATTTTATTTGTTCCTTCAACACATTTTTTTTTTTTTTGAGTTCTATGAGCCAGGTTCTTTTTCACTGGGATATGTTAGTGACCTGAAGGACAAAGCCGCTTGTCTTTGTGAGGCTTACATTCTGGCAGAGACAGAGAGACACTATCGATTGACATAGTAAATAACTGAAGCATAGTGTATGTTAGATGGTGTAAGAGCTCCTGAATGAAGAAAAGGCAGAGCAGGGATAGAGGAGGAAGAGGGTGCCTGGGTTGCAATTTTAAACAGCAGATAAGATCAGGCATCACTGAGCAAGTGACATTTGGGCAAAGACTCAAAGAGAGGAGGTAGCCATTCCTATATTTGGGGACAGTGTTTCAGAAATAAAAGAAGCACTAGTGGGAGCCCGCCTGCTTTGTTCAAAGGACAGCAAAGAGGAATGCATGACTGGAGCAGAGGAAGTAAGTGGGACAAGTGCAGGAAATGTGGTCACAGGACTCAGAAGTCGTGCAGGGCTTTGTAGGCCATTGTGAGGACTTTGGATTTTACTTGCAGTAATTTTTCTTCTCCAGTTTGTTCCTTTACTCTTCACATGACAGGGTGTCTCATCCCTGCTAGAGAACATTCACACCCAGCATAAATTTTGCAGAGCAGTAGGCGGGCGTTAAGTATGTTATTCCTCAAAAGAATCGGCATGGAAGCCATCACTGTTATTACAATATTTTACATTAGTGAATGAAATGTCCAAATACACCTACAGCATTTCCTGCTTGTTAAGAAATCCTTTCTCAATTCACCCAGAATCGATCTGCAGTTAAATCTTAATAAAAGGCAATATCTAAGGCACCCTAAGGAAAACATTTCAATATGAAATTAAGTTATGGATTAGTAAGTATAATAATATTTCCGGTTGAATTCAGAAGTGATTTAGTAAGAACACTATGAAAAACTTCTGTGGAAAGGGAGAAGGTTTCCTTTTGCAGTGTGCCATTCATTGGCACGGCACAGTTTCGCTCCGTTGTAGGGAGGCAACCTTTACTGGAGGAAACCACCGTGATTTCAACCTGTTTCCCATCATTCGGGCAGCATCTCATCAAATCTGTACACTTTCCATCTCCTCCCAACCATCACAGTTGGGATTCATCAGTATGGTTAAGAGGAACATGAGATAAAAAGTTAGGGCAGAAGACAGGCAAAGACCAAATTACATTCTTACCTCTGAAGCTTCAGATTTTATGAGAAAAGATTCCATCAGAAAAGCTCATGAATAAATGGATGGGAAGGCTTCGTCGTGCTGTCCACATCATTGTGTTTTCTTTGACCTCTGATCAGAGTTGTCCTTCTTAATCCTCTTGTATTTGGAATTATTGAATAAATTTGACTGGTATCTTTTTAATAGAACTTAACACTGTATTTATTAAATCTTACACATAAGGAAGGGTAGAAATATTTCTGGCAGTAATGCAAGCATATGGTATCCATAAACATCCAGGTAGGTGTACATTTCAAGACATCTGAAGCAATAGGTTGGGACCTTGCTTTGAAGGCTCTGACATATGTGAAAGGCATAAGGTCTGAGTGGAGAGGTAAACCAAAAGCTTCAGCATATAACAGGAAGGAGAAAGGAAAAAGGAAAGGATGATAGTCAAGAAGGCTGTTGAACCTGATTTGATACAACTAACCTACACCTGGGTCCTAGCACTTGTGAAAAACAATGACAAGGTGCATAAAGTATTGATTGACATTTCAAGCTGCCCAAAGCTTTGCCTGGAACATGAATTCAATACAGATTGCCAGATCATATCACAGACACCAAAAGAGATTTTATTTTTTCCTTTGCATTTGAATTTCAGTGGTTTAAAGGATTGCGAATCCACTGATCGGTGTTAGAATGGCCTTGATATAAATTATTTAATATGATTTTATAGCTTCCAGCATTATTTTCCTCCCAAATATGCCTGCAATTTGAATTTTATCTTCAAATGAAAAATATGTGCCCTATTGGAAGCTTAAATTTTCTGTGGGTTATTCACACATACTATCAGTAGGCACCACTTGACATCCTTGGTGATTTATTTTTTGTTATTATAAATTTTTATCATTGTAAACTGATTTTAACATTTAGATGTTACTATTTCTTTAATTTATTTTTACTATTGAAAGTATTACAGATGTCCCCCCTTTTTCCTCCATTAACCCCATCCAATTAAAACAAAGGAGTCCAATTTATTTATATTTGACATTTCTTTCTTATCCCACAAGTTTGAGTTTTTATTAACATTGCATTCATCAACTAACAACATTCAACTTAACATCAATTGTTTAAAACAATATACAGTTCAGTAAAGAGTTTCCATTTTGCTTTTTTTTTATCCTCACCTGAGGATATTTTTCCATTTTGTTGTTCAGATAGAGTGGAAGGGAGAGAGAGAGAGAGAGAGAAACATTGACCTGAAAGGGACACATCTAGTGGCTGCCACCCGCACAACCCAACCAGGGCCGGGGACAAACTGCAACCGAGGTACGTGCCCTTAGTGGGAACTGAACCCGGGTCTCTCGGGACCGCAGGCCAACGCTCTAACCGCTGAGCCAAACTGGCCAGAGCAAGAGTTTCCATTTTGAAAGCAACCTTTTGGTAGGTTAACTCTTGTTAACGGTCAGTCATGACATGTTCACTTATTCATAGAAAGAGTCGCTCTGCAGGGCGCCAGTTGCCTATAAGCGAGAGGCTGGCCGTACAACAGTGTGACAAGAAAAGTTGAAGTCTGTGACCTCCCACTCTTCGCTCCGGCGCCCTTTCACCCCAGGAGAGGGAATCTAACCCTTCTGATGTGAAAGAAACCACTGTTTGTCCACGCTCTTTAGTTCATTCAAACAATTTAAACAAACCTTCCAGAAGTGAGCTTTTATTTCTTCTGTTTTATTGCCACTACTTTGGTTGTCCTGATGAAGAGGAATCAACAACCATAGACTCTGGTGTGGACTATTCACAACTTCATGTGTTTCTTGGAATTACCATGAGGGGGCAATTGAAATGATGAATTGTGTCGATACCTTGCTCTAAAGTTAATGCTCAGACTTTGAAAGACCTGAAATAAAATTAAAACATGATGCCCCATGGGGGCATGTTAACTAGTGGAATATATTCAATGTTATATTGTACCTAAGTTAGATGTTGATATTTTGGAGACAATCTCCCGGCCCTTTGGCAATCAGTTCAGCGCATTCTGGCTCCTCCTCTCGGTGAGGCTGGGCACCGGTGCATGGACTGTGGAAACGGTGATAGTTGTGTAGCTGCTTTCCTGCTCCCAATGGGCAATCTCTTTCCTCTTTCAAGTGGAGATGCTAAAGGCTTCCTGGCGGATGCTATGGAATTGAATGAGGTCATCACAGCATTCTAGCTGATGCCTTTCT